GGCGGGAAGCCTGCCTCTCCCTCCCACTTCCCCTGCTTGTGTTCCCTCTCTCACTATCTCTCTCTGTCAAATAAATAAATAAAATCTTAAAAAAAAATGAAATGGCAGCTGAAATTACAGCTACTATAAACACATTCTAAACAGTAGGAAAAAGCAAGGCAGGTGTAGGGAAGGTGAACCAAGTAAGCCATGTTTTAACTGTATTCTCAGATGCCCCACGCAGTGACTTCTGCTTTTTCTTATTTGCGATCCCTAGTGAAAGGGAGGCTGGGAAATAACAGTTGGTCATATTATTGCTCAGAATAAAAATACACAGAGGCCAGGGAGAATGAGCATTAGAAGGAATTAGCAGCCTTTAGAGCCTTCCTGGAACAGAGTTAAACATCAAAAGTAAGGCTTTCAGAATATTATTCTGAATGAGCACTTCATTAACCATACATTAAAACACCTTCTTTGATCTGTTAGAGGAATGGTTGCATCCTTGCATAAGACAAAGGTTTTTGCTCACTTTGAGAATCAGAATAGTCATTTATCAGAATAAATATATACAGTTTATTTCACATAGGTTGAGGCCGTGTTTGATATACACCAACCAAAAGTCCTATGCCATTCTTTGACAGGGTGATATGTCAAAGAATATGTAACATATGAAAAGTGATCAGTAAAAAAAAATCCATTCTCTTCAGAATTGTAATTCCTTTTTCAGAAAGCAAATCAAGGAAAGGAGAAGCTATATGTATAAAGCTGTTCACAGCACTGTTATATATGACAGCAAAGAAAAAAAGTAAGTTTACAATCCAAATGTCCTATAACAAAGGAAAGGCTGAGTGAATTATGGTATGACCATTAGATAGCCATAAAAATCATGCAGGAACATGGGAAAGTGCTGCAAATATATTGGCGGTGGGCAGAGAGATAAAAAGTGTATATGTATGTGGATAAGATTAGAAGAGCATTCAGAGTGGAGAAAGGGGAACCCTCCTACACTGTTGGTGGGAAAGCAAGGGGTGCAGCCGCTCTGGAAAACAGTATGGAGGTTCCTCAAAAAGTTGAAAATAGAGCTACCCTACGACCCAGCAATTGCACTACTGGGTATTTACCCCAAAGATACAAATGTAGTGATCCAAAGGGTTACGTGCACCCCGATGTTTATAGCAGCAATGTCCACAAGCCAAACTATGGAAAGAGCCAGATGAATGGATAAAGAAGACATTATACACACACACACACACACACACACACATACACAATGGAATATTACACAACCATCAAAAAATGAAATCTCAAAAAATGAAATCTTGCCATTTACAATGATGTGGATGGAACTAGAGGGTATTATGCTAAGCGAAATAAGTCAATCAGAGAAAGACAATTATCATATGATTTCACTCATATGTGGAATTTAAGAAACAAAACAGAGGAGCATGGGGGAAGGGAGGGAAAAATAAAACAAGATGAAATCAGAGAGGGAGACAAACCATAAGAGACTCTTAACTCTAGGAAACAAACTGAGGGTTGCTGGAGGGAAGGTGGGTGGGGGGAGGGGGTAACTGGGTGATGGGCATTAAGGAGGGCATGTGATGTAATGAGCACTGGGTGTTATATAAGACTGATGAAACATTGAACTCTAGCTCTGAAACTAATAATACACTACATGTTAATTTATTGAATTTAAATAAATTTAAAAAAGAACATTCAGAGAACTATAATGGTTTTGTCAGGATGTTAGAATTATGAATATAAATGATTTGTTTACATATCTTTTATTCTATAACAATGACAACAAAAAAAGGAAAATAAATTCACCCAAGTCACAGACCCTATTTTTCCCTCAGATTCTCTTCTGGCTGTTTGTCTTCTCCATGATTCAATCCCAGATGCTCCCAGGAAGGACTCAGCTGCTCTGTGTGAAGGCCACACCTGAGGCCAGGTGAACAGTCAACACATGGGTGTGTTGATACACTGATCATTTGTCTTTGAAGCAAAGCTCAAGCTGTTTGTTAGGCATCTTCCCAGGAATATCTTTCTAATAGTGGGAATAAATTTGCAATCATCTGCTCTCTCTGCCAGGGTTTCCCCATAATCAGTTTCATGAAATGAGAAGCCACTTGTCCTAGTTCATATGTAGATTTGTAGATCTCAAAGGGAATAAAAAATATATAGAACTGATCACCTAGGAATCAAGCCTATGGGTCTTCAATATGATGATAAATACCCTGACCCGCAACCGCTACCAAAAGTCCAAATCCTTCCATGAGATTACTGTGGATTTGCATCGTTGTCAAGTTTGGCAAGACCAAGAATTAACCATAGGTTAAGAGTAGATGTTAATTTTTATTATGTCGAAGATTCCCCAAATGGCCTTACTCCTTGAGGTGGATTGTGATTTGTGAGTGTGACCTGCATACTCCTTGCCAGCTTGGGACGTTGGTGACTGTTATGGCTTTACACAGGATGACAGAAGAACACTGGTCAGGGGCATTTTCCGAGTGGGTGGGAGGCATAGAGATCAGCCATATGAAATAGTCCTTAGTTTAGCAGAGGTAGGAAAGGTGGTGATATTCAGAACAGAGGGGAAGTTCATCAGGAATCAGCCACCAACCAAACCTAAGGGCCCAGGGGACTCACCCCAAGGCAGGGGTCCTGGTGTGGAGAGAAGAGGCTTGATTCTCCAGGGACCAAGGGACCTGACATGAAGAGCTCGATCTCCCCTATCTATAACTTCCACAAAGTAATCCAGCACCCAGGAATACTCATTTGGATAATTCATCTTAGAAGAGAAGTCAATCTGGAGGAGAATGAAGATAGATCCTGAAAGAGTCCTTCAAATTAAACTTCAATTTCAGGTGCCCATATTTTGTGTATTATACACACAACGAATTCTTTAACTCTGAAGTGAAATTAACTGTGCTCTTCAAATACTGGGCAAGTGTCATAAATGGAAAGAGTCTTTGTGGGGAACCAGTACCAGGAGAGAAAGGAAACATCACAAATTCCAGGGGTTTTGTTTTTGGAGCATATTTTACTTTACAATCCGAGAGAATTAACATCTGCTAGCAGCATAATACCAAAATGCAACATCAATCTATTTAAAACTCCTATAATGGGAAATATATCTTTCAAAAATGGTAAAAAAAACCAATAAAAACAGCTATAACATACATATAGTACATTCACTTTCCATTCTCAAAGAAAATTGTCATTTTTGTTTTCATGAAATATGTCAAAATATATATATATGTGTGTCTATATAATATTCACATTCTGGAAGGCAAGAGAAATCTTCAGATTTAACTCTGTAAATTTAAACATTTTATTTGTGTATATATATATATATATTTTTCCACTTAGAATAACCAAAACATTAAAAATAGCAGCAACATTGATCTTTAAATATTATAATGTTATAGTAGATTGTTCACATAATGTAGATCTATATTAGTAGCTCTTTCATTATTAATATCTAATACAATTTACAAACTTCAAGGTCCTGGTCTTGTTGCCAAATAACTTAGAATCTAGATTCAATAAATACTATGCAAAGGATGATTATAAAACCCAGACTGTAGAACATTTTCTAGACCAGAAAAAAATCATACCAAAAGGTTTTAATCAGGTCTGAAGGAGGTTCAAAGACATGTAAGGAAACTGCAGGATTCCCAAGGCAAAAGAGATGACCTGACAAGCTCTCTGAAATGTTGAATTGAATCCCAGGAAATGGGTTCAATGGGGACAAGAAGGCACTGCCGTATCTTCGTGGGGCCATGTTTCATTGGAATATGGCATGAAACTAACAACTGGAAAATTTCCAGGGATAGAATCATTTCTCACCAGGAGGCAAGACACTGGACAGGAGATCGATATTTACTTTTCATTTATTCTGATGGCCAAAGGCATAAAAACCAAGATTTCAGCGGGACCTTGTGTTGAAGCCTAGAAGGCAGAAAAAAATTGATCCAAGCCACTGGATCGATGTGCTGATCCTGTTGGCTTAAAAAGAACTTCAGATGTGTTAACAGAATCCCCTGAATTCAGTGACTCTTAGGTTAATGGTTCCATAACACAAAATTACACTAATTCCACTGTAAAAAACCTACATATAATGATAATCTATGAGCTAGAAGACTTAAATTCAACGTTCGGGAGTGTAACACTTTGAATTATTAATCAAGTTCTTATTTTTAATCAATAATTTTAAAAGAGCTAGTTGAATTAAAAAAGAGACCATTCATGAAACCATTGTGCAACATGATTCTAAAGTCCTATAAATCCCTTTGTTTCTCTTCAGGCACCACCTGTCCCAGTACCCACCCCCCTCCCCCGCCTCCCTAACATTCACACACTATATGCCCCGCCAACAGAGTCTTCTGACTCTAAATTGAAAGGGTGAGGCACCAATAGGAAAATATGCTTTGGCAAGCAGGAAATTGGACAATTCTTTGAGCTTTCCCTGAGGTAGTGGAGTTTCTCCTAATATTCTAATGGTTAAGAAAAGTCTAGGGAGCTGAATTAAGAGACAAGTGGAGTGTTGGTCACTATACTTAAACACTACCCTGAAATTGGTGGTTTCAATGGTTATGTGATTATCCCACACTCCAACACCTTTTCAGTAGAATCCTGACTGCTATGCGGAAAACTTAAGATATTAAGGTTGCTGTGTAACTAGGGCAAGCCTTGAAGGCATTGTATAACTGATTACAATTTGAACTTAATTCCTACACATTTCTATAAAAGTACCTGGCATACAGTTGGAGCTCAGTATCAGTAGTTACTGAGCTCTGATGATGGACTGTTTAAAATCTCTGATTTAGCTCCATAAGGTTACAAGGGAAAACAAAAAACACCCAACCAAATGCAGGCTAATTGTGGCCTTTGTGCATGGAATTTTGGACACCTCGCAAACTATGAGGAGGTCAAGCTCGAATGGTACTGGGCGTGGTATAGCACACAAGTCCACATGAGCTCTATTTATCGGATACCTTCTTTCTATCATGATTTTATCATGATGTGATTACGGGATTTTTAGCCATAAGGAACTTTTTTGAAGACAAAGTAATCCATTGTCTCTGTTGCTCTTCAAGCTTTTCTGCCAGGCATTTAATCAAGACAGGATCCACCTTAGAATCAAATTTATTAGCAAACCAATGTCCGTCATTTATAAGCCACCTTAATTCTGCTGCTCCAAAGATACACACACTGCGAAGGTGGGAGCCGGTACAACGGGGATACAAAAGCCCTTCGTGATAGTTCCATTTGACAAGGCGGGTCTTACTCTGTAAGTCAGACACATCCTGGGCTGACCTAGAAATCTCCCCAGGTATTCCTGGTACCCGAATTAAGGTAGCCCAAAAATGTTCATCAGGCGAGTATGTATCTTTAGACCAGGCAAAAAAGTCTTTAACGAGGGAGTTGTTGAAAATATATTTAACAAATGCTCGACTTAAAACAAAATAAGCACTGCCCACAAATATCTCAATGTTATGAGGAGGGGCTTCCTTGGAGATGTTTGTCCTTATTGGTAGCTTCACATATTCATAAGGCACCTGTCTGAGTTCATGGTGGTAAGTGAATCTTTCCATTTTACTGTTAGGGGGTTTCACCGTTTCTAACATATTTGCTCCATTGAGTTTCTTTAACTCTGACACTAATTCAAAGTTTGACTTCAAAGGAAAATCTTGCCCACACAGATTGATAACATATTTCCACTGAACCGAGGACCTGAGGAGGTCTGACAAGCAATTCAGATCAGCTTGGAGTCTGGAAATGTGTGCATATTGTACTGTCTCTATTTTGGAGGCAATGAAAACATTGGGGAAGCACTTAGCTAAATTGTTCATGGCAACTTTGAAGGTATCAGGTGACTTATGGTCATAATGGATGCAGTAAATATTGTGCTGGTTGTATATGGCATGAAGTAGCCTTTCAACCATAATGGCGTCTTTATGAACCACCAAAGAATAGGCTATTGGGAAGCTCTTCTCCTCCCTTGAAACAGGCTTTTGATGGTAGCTTCTCAGGGTCTGATAAATGTCACAGTCACTGGTTATCGCCACAACATCCTCATCATCCAAGTCAATGATGTCTCTCCTTCTTATTTCCAGACTCTTGCCAATTTCCAAAGGCGCCTGTTCATAGACACCTGAACAGTTAACTTCATACCTGACTTCATTTTTCATATTGGTGTATCTGTTCCTTACAAAAGGTGAGGTACTCAGGAAGGATTCAACCAAGTAAATGCCTCTTTGAGGGAAGAGGAGGCTTCTCACATTTAGAAGCTTCAACAAGGAGAACAGCCATAGAGTTACAAACAAGATGAAAACTTTCTGCTGTGCTGGGTATTTAAAACAACATTTGAATGTCTTCATTCTGTAATTGGAAAAAGGAATAATTCAGTTAAAACAAGAGAAAGAGAACTAAGAGAAAATTAGTTCCATTCAATCAAAATTCACTGGGTACCTTTCACATGCCAGGCAGAATGCTGGGCCCCAAGGTAAATAAAAAAAGGTTCTCACCCTTATGAGAATCCAGAAATAAGGGAATGAGAATATATAGAATACCACAAAAATCAAAATCCTGATTTTGTGGTATTCTGTGTTAACTATATCTGAATTGTGAGAGATGTTGGTTACCAAAAAGAATAGCCAATTATGTAAACTGCTAAAATATAGGTACTGTGTAACTTTTACTGTCTGCTCTTCTGCTTAGCATATTTAGGGAGAGATTACTCTGGTTTGGGCAGAATTGGTCTACACAATTAGATGTCATTAAGGGGTCAGTGGAGATGCAAATGGCCCACCTGAGCCTAAAAGGAGCATCCATCGTTAGTCTACCTTCATATCCTTATGATACAGATCTGAAGTCAGAAGGGGAAAGCCCAGTGAACCCCACTGCTATAGACTGAATGTTTATGTCTCTCCCCAAATTCACATGTTGAAACCTAAGCCCCAGGGTGATGGCATTAGGAGGTGGGGGCTTTGGGAGGTGATTAGGTCATGAGGGTGGGGCCCTCATTGATGGGATTAGTGCCTTTATAAGAAGAGACCCCAGAGAGCTCCCTTATCCCTTCCACCACGTGAGGTATGGATTAATTACACCCATACTATGGGAAAAATTCTGAGACACATCTGCATCTGCCCTTGTGGGATGATCCCCATGATACACTGTGAAAGAGAAATAAGCAAAATGCATAACTGTGTACAGTGTGCTCACATGTGTGTCAAAAAAAAAATATAAACAGTATCTACACGCAAAAAGCACATGTTGGCAAGCTTTTTCTTCCTCTGTCACAACTACTCAACTCTGCCACTGTAGTGGGAAAACAGCCACAGATAATGCGTAAACGAGAGGGCTTGGTTGTGTTCCACTAAGACTTTATTTACAAAAAGGAGGTGGCTGGCTATTTCCAGAAGGATACCGTATAGACATGACACCAGGAACAGGAGCTGCTTTGCAGGGGGTGGGTGGGAGAGGATGGAGGATTAGGGGCCTGGGTAGGACAGAGATTTACTTATCACTGAATATCCTTCTGTACTATTTGGATTTTTAAAAAATGATTATACACTTTTTTTTTCAGATAAAAATAGGCTAATCAAATGGAGGCACAGATGAATTTATTTGGGGAGCAGCAGGAAGGGGGAAAAAGAAAGCACTGTCCCAAGGTCTGAGGACAGGAGGGCCGGCTGAGTTCACAGGGCTGCTTCAGAGAGGTTCAAATCCTGACACCTGGGGAGGTCTGAGGAGCCCGTGTGCAATTTCTTAACACATCTCAATAAATCTTAAATGAGGACATATCATTGTTCCCCATTTTCTTAGAGAGAATTAACAAGCAATTTGAACCTGATTTATTTTTGCAGATTTCTTCTTTACAGGTCAATTGAAATAGCTCTCCCAGGAAGGACACAGCCTCGTTCACCTTCATGGAATCACTTTCATTAATTAAAGAACACCACCTTACCGACAATAAACTGTCCTCCCCAATCGCATCGCCGTCTCTCCTCTGTGGGTTTCCCCGGGGCCCTGTTTCACACTGCTCTTCTCACGCACGCCGTCCCCTAGCTGTCTGGATTGTGCCTCCCACGCACGCATTGCCAACACCTTTGTCTCCAGCCCTCACCTGCTGCCCAAGCTTCTGACACGAACATCCAGTTGCTTGATGGACATCTCCCCCAGCCAACCTGCAGGCACCCCACCTCAAGTGAGTCCCACACTGAACTTGACATCTTCACCTCTCCGGTGTTTTCTGTGTCAGTGTATGGTGGGACCACCCACTCAGGGGGCCGAGCTTGAAATGTGAGAGTCATGTGACTCTTCCATTTCCCTCCCACCCACATTATCAAATCATCTCATCGAGACCAGCCCTTCTTGTCCATCCCCATTAACTGAATCAGCATCCAGGGAATCCTAGTCAGGCTCATGGCCCTGGGTCAGCAAACTGAAGAGGGTTCCATCCACTCAGGCTCAAGGCCAAGGTTCTTGCCAGTTGTTACAGAGCATGGGAAAACTGACTCCCTATGCACAGGGCCACACAAACTACAACCCAAGAAGCTTGAGCACGCATTTATTTATTTTTTTGTAAAATTTTATTTTATTATGTTATGTTAGTCCCCATACATTACATTACATCATTAGTTTTTGATGTAGTGTTCCATGATTCATTGTTTGTGCACAACACCCAGTGCTCCGCGCAGAACGTGCCCTCTTTAATACCCATCACCAGGCTAACACAACCCCCACCCCCTCCCCTCTAGAACCCTCAGTTTGTTTCTCAAAGTCCGTAGTCTTTCATGGTTCATCTCCCCCTCCGATTCCCCCCACTTCATTTTTCCCTTCCTACTATCTTCTTTTTCTTTTCTTTTTTTTTTTAACATACAATGTATTATTTGTTTCAGAGGCACAGGTCTGTGATTCATCAGTCTTACACAATTCACAGCGTTGAGCACGCACTTAGAAGTAGGTGTTGTGATAAAATTTGACTTAGAAGATTCATCAATCCCAAATCAACCTATCTCATCATTGTCCTAATGCATGGTAATTAGGCATACATAGGAAGGAGCTTACATAAATGGCTAGAATTAGAAAGAATCTTACCCAAAGTAAATTTTTGCTTTGTCTTTTCTCCCTTTATTGGTCCACGGGATCTCTACTTAGCGCCAGTTAATAGTTCCCCCTGATACCACAGTGGTAAAATGAAAAGATCCCTTTAAGTTTCTTTCTTTTTTTCTTTCTTTTTCTTTTCTTTTTTTTCTCTTTTCTTTCTTTCTTTCTTCCTTTCTTTTTTTCTTTCTTTCTCTTTCTTTCTTTTTCTCTTTCTTTCATTTTAAAGATTGTGTTTATTTGTTTGAGAGCGAGAGAGAGCGCGAGCGAGAGAGAGAGAGAGAGAGAGAGCGCATGAGCAGGGAGGAGAGAAGCAGTCTCCCCGCTGAGCAGGGAGCCCGAGCAAGTCTTCCAGAGTTGTCGTGGTGTTTATGATCCCGTTTAACTATCATCTTCACACGTACATAAAAAGGCAAATACTGGCTCCCTGTCCTGTCACCCATGTGCAAGGGCTCCTTGCACCCACACTCCCCCTTCCTTCCTGAGAACACCTGGAGCACACACTTCCTGACTCCAGCCTGGTGCCTGGAGAGTCTGATTTGAGCTAAGGGTCATGGCTGCCTGCCCAGAGAGGGAAGGTGGCAGGCATGCTGTGAGAAGTCCTGTGGGAACTGGCGCTGGGGCCCATGTCTGAGCTTCACCAGCCAGGGACGAGAGGTAATTTTAAAGGAACAAGGGGAGGGAATTGGGACAGCCCGGGCATTTGGCTGTCGGATTCTTCTTCTCCTTTCCTACTCTGGGCACCTTTAAGGAGGAGAGCTCGTCTGTCTAGGGATCAGCCCTAGACATCAGGGGAACCAAACAGCTGTCCAATACCACCCTGTCCCAAGTCAAAGTAAAACCCCTTCCCTTGCTTACCGTGGCCAGAAGTTCCTTTGCCTGAAAGCATTCCTTTCCCCAAGTTAGAAGTAAAAAAGGGGGAGGTGCAGGCCCTTTGTGTGAAGGAGCTTTTGTCAAATCCTGAAAGGGACTGTGGGCCTCTTCCCAGCTTTGGTGGGAATACCCCAGGGCACAAAAGCCCCAGGAAGTGAGAGACCACAGTTCCCAACCATGGCTCTGCTTTCCTCTGGACAGAACCTGTGTGTGACACCCACGGGGAAGCCGCAGAGGGTAGAGGTGGGCTGGGGGCAGGCACCTGCCCGGAGTAGCACCTGTGTCCCTTCCCTGACACCTGCAGCCCGAACTCATGAATTCCCGCAGGCCCCAGGTTTGGAGGGATGGGAATGAGCTCCCGAGGTCTGCGCAGAGCTGGTGGGGGTAAGGCTGCAGTCCTGCTGGCCACGGGGTTCCTAGGAAACTAGGGCAGCAATGCCACCTTCTGCAAACACCCAGCCCCGGCTCCTTCCCTCTTAAAGGCCCCAGGAGCAGGAAGCAGGCAAGTGTTTTGCTGCCAGGAAGTAGTCTGACAATTACATTACAAATAAGTGCCCACCCACAGGAGAAGGGCTCCTTCGCCTTCCACCTGCCCAAATAAGGAGCCCGGTCCACCGCGGAGTTCACTGCCACACAGGTGCGCGAGTCCCTAGCAAGGAAGACAGGACTGAGAAGGACATGGTAACAAGGCTGGATCGCTACAGCTCCGCGGAAATAAGGTCTGTTTGGATAATTCAATAAAAACCCAACAAAGATGTTGAATGAAGCCTTTCCCCCCAAACCCTCTTCCCTACCCAGCCTTTCCAGGCACTGTTTACAGCCTTAAAAGACAGCAGGCACAGAAAGGTACACCCAGCCAAGTGATTATAATTGTAGTCAGGGCTAAGTGGCCACAGCCATTAGCCGCTCTTCCACGAACCCTCCTTAAGTCAGCAATCAACTGTCAAAAAGCGCATGCTTGCTTTCTCAAGGGAGGAGGGAGAATGGTAAATCAGGACACAGAGGAAGGAGGCTGAAGAGCAAAGTACTGACTCTGGTTTAGCTTAGGGACCAAGAATGAGGGACCTACCATCCATATTTGCAGATTAGGTGGCCTATGCCCCCTCCACTCCCCTGACCCTCTTGTTCCCTCCCTGCACACCTGCACTCCTCTCTAGTAACTCAGACAGGGAGTGCGGACTTGGGAGAGAATAGTACAGGGGCTTCAGGATGCCACAGACCTGGGCTTAAATCCCTGGGGGAACACTTAGCAGCTGTAAGACTGATCCAACTATTCAACCTCTGAAGCCCAGTTTTCTTGTCTCAAAATGGGAATGAGAAATCCCCTTCCGAGCTGCTGTGAGGGCTCAGGAGCCCCTGCATGTGAATAGGGTCATCCCACAGAAGGGCGCAACGTACC